AGCCAAGGGACAAAACTGTGAAGCCATGTTAGCTCCATCACTCTGGGGAAGGACAGAGGCTGTGGGGCGGTAAACTGAGTCCCATGACTGTCCACATGCTCTCTGCGTGCTCTGTCAGGTGGGAGGCAGGCCTGGCCTGGCAGGACCAGGACCAGGTTCCATGTGCTCTGGAGACACATATTAAATAAAAAATCCTCGCCTGGGAGAACAAACCGTCAGGGAACCCTTCCTTCCCCCACTCTTGTATGGTATTTTCCTACAAGAAGGTTTTTTTATTCAAAAGAGAAAGAGAGAGAGAAAAAAAAAATACAAAAATTTTTTTAAAAAGAGGCAAAAAAAGAAAACACAAAACAAAACAAAAAACAAACAAACCCCAAAACCTCAATGAAACAGTTTGGGGATTTTACTCTTTTTTAATTCTCAGAAAGTCCCTCCCACTACCTGGTTTCTAAAACAGACCATAAACACAGATGACATCAGGCTGGACAGCGCTGGGCGTCTCGCCGCCAGGGGCGCCCGGCAGGTGTGAGACTGACAGGTTGAGAAGAGATGACACTATTTCAATCATCAGAAGATGAAAACCAAGGGGGAGGGGGAAGGACAGGAGAGGCCACGCACCTGGGTGTGGCGGGAAACCTGACAACACCCCGCCAGCCGCTGGCCTTTCGGGTGAACCCCTCTTGTCTCCATGGGGTGACAGGGTGCTCCCTGGGGGTGGCCGGCCGCACATCCCCCACCTCCCAGGTATCCGAGTGCAACCCATCTACGGGGTTCCGAAAGCACGGCTGCAGCGCTGGGCGCCCCACGGAGCCCCCCGGGACTTTCCAAACTGCATCTGGAAATCGGCTTTGGCAGCAGTCGCCGTGATGCACACTTGCAGGCCGTGAGGGGCTTTCTCCGCTACACACGTCCTGCACATCGTGTCCGGGGACGCGGCCGGCCAAGCTGCGTCCCCAGCGCCGAGGTGACAGATGCCAGAGGGGAGAGAGGCTCCACCCCCAGTGGCTGGCTCGGGGAGACCAAGTGAGTCATCGGGCCTGAGCGGTGACCATGATGTCCCAGGGTGAAGTGGGAGGCCTGGGGACGGAGCCCGCTGCACAGACGTGAGCCACGGTGACTCACATTTGGACCCCGAGGGGAAGTTCCATCTGCGAGTCCTCTGGACGGCTCTCGTCCCCTGGGGTGAGGTCATCCCCACTGCTGCTCAGAACCGGGACTTGCTTCTTTCTCCCAGAGCCCCGGCGTTCCACTCTCAATTATGGTTATGGCAGAAATCCTCATCTCAGCCACAGCACCTCTCCCTACGCAGCCCCCCCGGCCCCGCACACACAGGACGGATGGACCCGAGCGGAGAGCGTCCTCCCTGCATGTCAGGCTTTCTCATCTGTAAGAAAAAAAAAAAGTTCTTCCTCCTGATGATGTCACACAGGAGCCTCGGGGGGCCAAGAGGCAGTGACTGTGACAGGGCTTTAAAAGGAAGTGCACTAAATCAGCGCCATTGGGTACCACCGTGTCGTTACTGCTTTGGACTCTGGCCATGTGGGTCTCCATCTTGCTCCACGTCCCCGGGGGCCATGGGTCTGGAAGAAGAGGAGAGCACGGCCATGGGTAGAAAGTGTCCCCAGCAGAGTCGGTGCCCAGGAGCTCGGATGAGTCGTTCAGAAATACCCATACACGCTGCTAAGAGTTTACTAGGGTTTATTGGGGAGGAGGAGGTCCCGGCGTCCGTCCTCAGCTGGTTCCTCCACCATATGCACAGGTGACAGAGAAGTCCCCCGAGAAAGGTGCGAGGCGTGTGCCCTTACGGGCTTAAGTTTTCGGTGCACTTAGGATCACAGGACATTAGCTAACAACCACCAAGACCAGGTCCTCATGGAAGCATTATGAGAAAGAGACATTGTGTTAGGCGTGAGCTCAGGAGCACGCTGAGCCAGCCCCACCTGGATGGTCACGGCGACCACAGGACAGGAAGGACAAACGGCGAATGAGGACATGACATTCCTGCAACTGTCAGCGGAGGAGGAAGATGAGGCAAAGGCAAGGGAAACAGGGAGAGCCTCCCCCTGCCCCCAAGAGAGCTGTGCGGGGACCACGAGGGACAGCCTCGAGCTGCAGCTCCGAGGGCAGCCTGCTCCCCCCACTGCCCTCCCCACAACTAGAACGGGACAACGAGGGCCTCTGGTCTCCCTCCTCCCATAATTTCCCCGCATTCCCTTCTGTTTCCCCTTTCCCTTCTCTTCCTTGCTGCTGACCCCGCAGCGGGCCCATCTGACGCCTGGTAGCTCTGCAGGCAGGGAGAGCGGAGACGGACCCTCATGGGAAGCCACCACCCCGGTGCAAGAGGCCATCCTAAATTAGGCAATCACAGCTGTTGAGAATCAGCCCCTGAGGAACGGGCCTGGAAGCTTCTCTGCTCATCCCCACTGTAAATGCCATTCCGTGTCACATGCATGGGATCGGGCCGGACAGGAACAAGCACCTCAATGCCCCTTCCGTGCGTGCCATCGCCCCTCCACTGCTCTGCCCCTCTCGGTCTCCATACCAGCCCCTAGGAGGTGCGACCACAGCACGCTTGTCTCAGGATCCTGCTGTGGCTCCCAGGTCCCTCAGTGGGAAAGCCTGACGCCCCCCCGCCCCGCCCCCCAGGCTCTCCCTGACCTGGGCCTCATTCCAACCCCACCAGTGCTCCTGTCCTCAGCCTGAATGTCACCGTTCCCACTGCAGAACACTCTTCCCCAACGTGTTCACGGGCTGGCTCCTTCAAGCCTGTGCTCGGGGTCACCTCCTCAGCGAGGTGCCTGCCCTGTTCAACACTGCAACCTGCCCTCCCGTCCCTGCCCTGCGCACTTGGCCTGCCTTTCCTGCCCCCAGGTCTGCTCTTTTGCACAACACTATCACCTTATGTGTGAGATAATTAACACATTTACTATTCTGCTGTTCATCATCTACCCTCCGCCACACTAAAAGGCCAGTCCCACGACAGCAGGATGGTGTTGTTGCCTAGAACAGTCTTGGCACACAGTGGGCCTCCCATAGCGCTCTGTTAGGCCATTCCCAAGGGTGCAAGGGGCCCTGGATCTTAGGGCATGACCTGCTATTCAGGCTGAGGTCACCTGCGGAGGGAAGGCAGAGGGCGGGCTAAGGCGGAGGATGTGTTCACAAAGGCAGTGCCCACAATCGGCCTGGAAATTCCCCTGGAGTCACTCAGTCACACCCCCGCCCCAACTCACACACAGCCTGCCAGTTACCCAAGCACACACAGCCGCTAAGGAACCCCTTCACCAACCGACTCCTCCCCAGGCCCGCCCTCCCACCTGAGACCCACACCATCATCTGAGCGACTCGTCTCTGCAGAAAACATGCAGGAAGAGAGGGACGGGGTAGAAGAAACACCCAAGTAACAGAAAACCCCAGTCCGCCCCCAGCGCTGTCAAGGCTCCAGGGGGGAGGAGAACGGAAGCTGATGTTCCAGCTGAAGGAGCATCCAGTGCCCTGGGTGGGCCTCTGTGCTTGTAGGGTTTTGAGGAGGTGAGCATATAGATGGCAACATGGCAGCGACCCGGGGGTGAGCACAGAGGCAGGAATGGAAATACTCCAGGTTTGGGGGGAGGATACAAAGCAGGTCAGTTTGGCTGTGAGGATCCAAATTTGGGGAGGAAGTGGTAGCAATTAAGATTAAGTATCCGGTGAGAATCGGTTGCCAGGATAACCAGTAGAGAACTATGATAAGGTTGCTTTTCGGTTTTGTTTTGCCTTTTTTTTTTAAATCAGAAAGTGGCATGATGAATACTGGGTTTAAGAAAGAAGTTTAGAGGGCGCCTGGGTGGCTCAGTCATTGAGCGTCTGCCTTCGGCTCGGGTCATGATCCCAGAGTCCTGGAATCGAGCCCCGCATCGGGCTCCCTGCTTGGCGGGAAGCCTGCTTCTCCCTCTCCCACTCCCCCTGCTTGTGGTCCCTCTCTACTGTCTCTCTCTCTGTCAAATAAATAAATAAAATCTAAAAAAAAAAAAAAAAAAGTTTAGAGAAGACACAGGTAGGATTATTTTGGGAAAGAAAGGCTGGAAATCCAAAGGTTGGAGCCCCTCGTGAGGATCCCAGCTTGTGCTACCAAAGTCAGGATCAACAAGGTGGCTGGGAGAAGGGAGGTGAAGGATCAAATCCGAAAACTGCCGGGGAGCAATTGCCAGGATTTAGTGTCCTAGAGGATGGAGGAGTTAACACCACTGGACATCTTCCTTCTGCCTGATCCATGCGGAGTAAGATACATAAGGAAGGGAAGAGATAGGGCATCTGTCATGGTCTAGACTTTTACTGGTATTCATTGTATTATCTCATGTAACTCACGACCTCCCCTGAGGACAAGGTATCAGCATCACCATCTTCTAGGTGAGGAAACAGAGGCTTAATAATCCACCCAAGATCCTATCCAGAGCTAACGAAGAAAAAAACAAAAAACAAAAACCCCGCTGACATTAACTCTGTCCTTAACCCATCCCAGGCACTATGCCGGGCACTTCACCCTGAATCCTCTCATCTCATGCCACGACATGGCCGGGATGGCTCTTTCATTGTCCCCATTTTACAGATGGGAAAACCGAGGGCTAGGGAAGTGAAGGTCAGCAGCCTAGAGAAGGAGGCAGTGATAGAAGGCAACCCCGGGTGAGGAAGCGTTCCTCTGCTTCCTCATCTGTAGGTTGGGTATGACATGCTCACCCGCTGGTGAGGTGAGAACGAGTTTACCCAGGTAGACGCTGTGAGAACCCAGCCACCTGGAATTCACTGCAATGACTGTTAGTATTTATTAACCTGTGTCTCTGGACCTTCTCCGACAGCTAACTGCAAGGCTCCTGCCTGCCAATCAGCCCTCTGGGCTCGCATGTGGGTGCAGGTGCAGTAGGGATGTCTGGGAAAAGGAGGTTTGCTGCAGAAGGAATAAAAACCCCCAGAGCAACATGAGCAGCAAGGGTGTGACTCCTCTCTGATTACCGCCCGCCACTCACCTTCTTTCTTATCCTTCTTTCTTGGCTCGGAGCACCTCCCCAGGTCAGCCTCACACCTCTGATTTCACCTAGAAAAAGAAGGGAGAGTTAGACCCAGAAAGAACATAGTAAAACTCATCTTCAAACTTAAAATACAGAGGGAGCAGTCTCTGAATGCCAGCCAACCTCCCAAGGACATAGGAGTTTAATAATTGTTCAGTCTTTTTTTTTTTTTAAAGATTTTATTTATTTATTTGAGAGAGAGAGCACATGAGTGGGGGAGGGTCAGAAGGAGAAGCAGGCTCCCCAAGTAGCAAGGAGCCCGATGTGGGACTCGATCCAGGGACTCCAGGATCATGACCTGAGCCGAAGGCAGTCACTTAACCAACTGAGCCACCCAGGCGCCCCAATAATTGTTTAGTCTTTAATATAGAATAAAACTGCATTCATTCTGAATCAAGGCAAAAATCCATTTCCTCTGTTCGTCACAGACATGGCAAGCGGGAAGGATACTTTCAAAGAAATACAGGTGATCATCCTAATACCCAGACCTACAAGAAAATGAAATGAATATTACATTGGATAGCAATCTTTTTCCAAGCTAAAACAAATTTACAGTGGACCTTTACCAAAAATAATAATAATAATAATAATCTATTGCCACAGTCCTGAGTTGTACTGTTTTGGGGGGCCCTTTTACATGACACTTTTCTGAATTTTTTTATGTTCTGACCTCATGGCACATCTGAACTCATGACATGGGATAGCACATAAGGAACATCTAGCTCTGTGCCCGGTCCCTATCTTTATTAGCTCTACTTTCATTTACTCCTTTCTAAGTTTCTGGAGTGCAAGGCCATTGCGTGTCATCCCTATAATTCCTAAGCAAACGTGCAAGGTTACCAGCAGAGTTGCTGCTGCTGCTAAAATAGATATTTAATCTTTAAATCCGACCTCTGTCCAACCTGATTCAGACACCAGGAAGAGTAGTATTTCAAAAGGTGTTTAAGATAATAGCCCCATTCTAAGCTTCCCCATCATTAGGCTCAAAGAAATCACTCTAGACCCCTAGGCTGGCAAATGAAAACAGAGAAGAAAGAAAAAAGGGGAAAAATAATACCATCAGATTTGAAACAGAAAACTTGTAACCTTCACTCACAAGGGAGAGGATTGTTTGGGTGGTGTTTTGTTCTTTCGCTGGATGCACACATACATACATCATCTTGGGGCTTGGATCACTCCCGTGGTTTCTAGAGTTACAGAGGACAGGGTCCAGGCTGGTACTCTGTGGCCAACCCCAGCAACCAATGCCTACCACCAGGGCAGCATCCCCTGTGCCCCAGAAACACCCCCCCCCAACCTGCAGACACACGTCTGCTGGGACAGCTTCTTCCACCATGCCCACCAACTTATCCCAAGACCAACCTCAAATGCAACGTGGGGCTCTTGACTACAGGGCAAGGAACTCAAGCATTTTAGCTCCGATGCACCATGCAACACCCGAGACCTAACTAGATGCCTTGCCCATGCTAGAAAACTCATCAAAAAGAAGCAAGCAAAACCACAACATACCCTCCAACTCCAAGTCGGGCAGCAGAATGGATTCTTGCTCCTGTTACTGCTTTATGTAACGCCACCCCCACGCCCAACCCACGTTCAGTTTGTTAGGTGGGGAGCATCCCATAACCTCCTTCAAGCTAAAGCCTAGAGGAATGGAAATGATTCCAGGTTACCCTTCCAGGGGAGATAGGAAATTTAATACAAGTCAATCTAAGCTCAGCCGGCCCCAAGACATTTCAATCCAACCAATGTAGGAGCAGACCTTGGGGAGTGGGGAAGTGGGAAACTTAAACCCTACGGTAGGGGGGACAAGATTTGGAGGGGAGAAAGGGTTCTCATAGTCCAGGTTCCCAGACTTGGCTACCTGCTGAAACCACTGTCTCCTCCCCCCAGGCAGCTGGAAAATCATCCTAAAGCCCAGGTCCCACTCCCAGTGGTTTCTGATTGGCATAAACTCAGGTCTGAGCATTGGGTTAAAAAAAAAAAAAAAAAATTAAGCTACCCAGGTAAGTCTAATATGCATCAAAATGGAAGGATCATCTGGAGATTGTTAAAATTCAAATTCAATGGGTTTGAGGTGGCAGCCTGAGAACCTGCATTTCTAATAAGCTCCTGGGTAAACCCAACACTGGTGGTCCACAGAACACACTCTGGGTAGCCAGGGCTTAGCAGGGATACCCCCAAACACCCGCCTTATGTCCCCTTCCCCAGAAACCTCAGGCAAACGGATGCCACCCCACCCTTCTTACCCTCCCCACCGCCTGTCCAGTAGGCCCCGAGACCCGCCCAGCTGACTTCCGGAGTGCCAGATGGGGAGAGACATCACTCACATCCCAAGAGACAGCTGCCCCCCTCCCCCTTAATCCAGTTCTCGGCAATCCAACCCCCAGCCTGAAACAGACTCTAAGATAAACACGGCGATCAACAGAACGGTTTGTTTCTGCCCTGTTCCTTAAAATGAGCGGGGCTCTTCCCCTTTGTTTTTTGTGTCCATGGGCCCATCCAGGGCAGGCAGGCTGCAGGGCCTCCGGGAAGCCAGGGGGGACCGTGGAGGCAGCCTCCCCCTGTCCACGGCACACTGGCTCAGCATCCGCCACACAGAGCCCTACACACCCACCCCGCTGCCTTTCTGTCCTCAGGGTGGACCACGGCAGGACCCGGAGTGGATGGCACTCCCTCGGAACAGGCCAATGGCAGCAGGCCATGCCTGGCACCAGACCTCTGAGGGAGGCCAGAGCTTGCCACGGGCTGCCCACAGCCGGCCCCCAACGGTCCCTCCTTTCCATCTGTACCCCCCACCCCAACTAGTTCCTTCCGGGTACCTCCAGGGATGCTTTGAGCCGAACACCACCTAGTGGTTCTTGGCCCAACCACCTCCAGCCAAGATGGAAGGGGGCTGGTCCTCCAGGATCCCTCCGACTGAGGAACAAAAGGCCCAGCAGGTGCGGCCACAAGAAGACACTGGCCTGGAACGCGTCCAGTCCCACCCCAGCCCACCACCTCTCCAGAAAGCGCACAGCCTAGGCTGTCAGTCATGCAGACAACGGAAGGCCACGCACTGCCGCAGAGGGAGGGTAGGCCAGGGGAGGGCAGGCCACACAGGCGAGCTCAGACACGGGCTTTTAACACTCTATAAGTGAGCGGCCCCTCTTTGGCCAAAAGAAGGGTTGCAGGTTGGGAGAACTCTTGGACCTTCTGAACGGGTCCGACGTCAGAGGGGAGTGACTTCCACAGAGCAGGTCAAGTAGCTGGCAGGAAGCCAAACCACTGGGTCCCATTTCGAGGCACGTACCTAAGGCTGATGCCCACTGAGCGCAGAAGGCAGTGCCCAGGACCCCATCCGCGGAAGTGTTCTAATTTCTTATAAAATTAGAAGGAATAAAACGAATATAATATGAATGCCTATATAACAACAAATCTATCCTTACACCACTGCAATCATAAAATGTCATTTTTAACTTTTTTTTTTTTTTTTAATGTTGGAAGGGGCTCATGAAGACAAAAGTGCCTAAGGTCACGAGCATCTAATCCAGCTCGGAGTCTGACTTCCTTCTAACCTCCAAACTCGCCACCCTTTACGCGGACCCTTTGTTGAAGGCCCTTGGCAATCCTCAACACCACTGCTCTTTCCCGGAGCCCCCCGCCCCAGCCCTAAGTGCCTCCCAGCGACGCTCCCCTGACTCCGTCCCCAGCTCGTCTGTTGCATGCAGGTGCGCCGGGCCTGCTTGGGACCAGGCAGACACCCCAGCTCCCACCCCCGTCGTGTGGAAGCGGCTCAGCCTGGCAGGTAAACCCAGCACCTCCGAAGTCCAAACACACGCTCAGCCCCCTGCAGCGTAAACACCGAGCATACATCACACCCAGGCCTATAAAAGATAATTACACAATCTGATCTGGCAAATGAGGCCCATGGAACCGTCTAATTCGTACAATGAATTCAAGGGTTGTATCGGCAGGAAAAATTAACCTGGCTCTTTAATGGGATATGCCCCCAGGTCAGGATTAGGGTTTATTTATCTTTTTTAATTTTCTTGCTGAGGAAGGGTGGTAAGACGTTCTCTGCTGCCCACCCTGTTCTCCTCCCCATCCCATCCCGGTCTGGCTTTCAGATGGGTCAGCTGCCCACTGGTCTTACCCACAAACTCACTCACTCCAGCTAAAATCAAACAGAGCCCCAACCAGAAGAGATAGATAGATAGACAGATAGATAGATAGATAGACAGACAGTTACTTTTTCACAAAAGAAAAGTTGGGACATTCCAAACTCACATCAAGGGCTTTATTAATTGGCACTAATTCAGTACAAGTAAACAAAAGGACTGACATGCCCAGATGGCAATTCACCTCCTAATTATTCTGGCCCAACTGTGAAATGCGTACTTGGAGAACACTCATATATGCATATTTCCCTAAATACACCGTCTCTCTCTCTCTCTCCCCCTCCCTCCATCTCCCTCCCACCTCCCCTCCAAGGAGTCTCTCGAGACGAGATGCCTCTTAATAGGAGTCGGTGCCCATCTCCTTAGCTCATAAACAGCTAGAACACCAAAGAACTGTTACTGGAATGTTAGGACAAGTAGACACTGAGTGAGGATTATCCTTCATCTCACCAAAATGAGTACTGTGGCAAGGCAGCTGGCTTTTCCCTCTCTTTCCTAGTGTACCTTCCTGGGGCTTTCCCCTGGGGAAAAAAAAATTTCCCTACCTACCTGGACTCCTAAGTCAGCACCGCCACTGACGGATGAAGCTCCGGTCAATCCAGGGGGATTTAGCGCTCACACCTTCATGGCTACTGCAAAGCGAGGTCTGTCTAAGGAATGAGGCGGTGATGCGGAAGTACACAGGCCGAGGAGCACTCCGTGCAGCGTGATCTACCCATGAAATCATCTCTATGTGCCTCTCTAGGAGACTGACCTGGCTCTCCTGAGCCTACAGTGGAGCCTATGGTACTTTTGCTCTTTAATCAAAGTGGCATGGGAATGTATCGTATATGGGGCAACCTCACCTCAAAAATATACGTATGGGTGAG